GTGTGTGTGTGTGTGTGTGTGTGTGTGTGTGTGTGTGTGTGTGTGTGTGTGTGTGTGTGTGTGTGTGTGTGTGTGTGTGTGTGCTCTTCTGGCAGACCTGCAACAGACAACACCTGGTTTGCTGTTTTTAGGTACCATTAATACATCTCTGGACTTACGGGACATTGTTCAAACAGTCAATCATGGGGTTACGGATACTTGGGAAAGAGGATTTGTCACTGGATTCTTGGTGTCGTGTCAACTTTTGAAGTGTGTGCGTAATGATTTGGGGAAAAAATAAATAAAAAAAACTCTTAACCGGAATCAGGTGAGAAAGACGGGCAGCGGTTAAATTCCAGCAGATTCAATATGTCTGCATTTTCTGGCTGTTTTTGGATCTGAGTGATTAAATTGCATAGGAAATATTTCCATAGTGAGCCAACAACCGTCAAGACGACTTGAATAATACATCGAGCTTTGCTACATGATATCGCAGTCTTAGATTGTCCAGTCTAGCAGCAGCTCCTGGTCTTTGCTGGAGAACATTATGCAGAGTGCTCAGCTGTGCGTCCGTCTCTTAGCCCCGTGCTGTTGAGGGAGGGCAGTTTTCCCATCATCCTTTAGGTGAAGAAGGATGGGCTGGAAAGGGTCGTGGTGAGCGTTGCAGAGAGGACGCTCTGCATTAATGAAGCTAATTTATCTGTGAATCAAAATTTGAGTGTGACTGCGGGGCGGGTAGGTGCTTTTTACATGCCCCATCAAAATGCCACTAAACCCTCCTCTCCTTCAGGAGTGTCACACGGGGTCACCTTGGGACAGGTGTGTGTGCGTTCACAGGCACACATGTGCACACACGTGTTGTGTATTTTGCAGTGTTCTCACTCCGCGCCTGGTGTGATTTGATCTTCCTGCCAGCGCAATAATTCCAAAACAAATTATTCCTAATTGCTGATGTATATCTTTTAAGCACACAGAATAATGGAGTCCTTTTTTTCCAATCCTTTTCCAGGGAATATCGAGTACAGCTGTCCGGCTACCAATGAGTGTGAGATCACCAAAAGGAGACGAAAGTCTTGCCAGGCCTGCCGCTTTATGAAATGTCTTAAAGTTGGCATGCTAAAAGAGGGTGAGTACTGGTTTTTCACACAAGCTCACACAACATATATATATGTGAGTGTGTGTTTGCTTTATCCTTTTATTTTTACTCTTCCCCTTGTGCAAAGCTGCATTATTTGGGGTCTCTGTTCAGTGCTGCTCCTCAGCACTACGAAAAAATCTAAGTACTGTTGTATCCATGGTTGTATATCACATAGGAAGCAGCGTGAAGCAGTTGAGTTCACAGTTCACAGAGTGACGACGAGGGCTGCGGTGGATGAATGCTTTAAAGACTTTTGTCTGGAGTCTGTGTCCCTTATAAAACCACACACATGTAATTTTTAGACTTAATTTCAGTCACACTGTGGCTAAGCTTGGGTAACAAAACTAGCTCTTTATGTGCAGGAAAAGGTTATAGTTGAGGTGTTAGAACGCCTTTCTGGCAGTGAGTGCTTGGGTTCAAGTAACACTTTTGGCTACGGACACCCCGGTGCTTGTCTCTGTGATGCCGTATATGCCATGCTATATACTCCCTGGTGTAAATAGCCACATTAACTTTTCCACCCACTGGTGCAAATAGCATTGTTGGCTATTGACACCTTGGTGCTAATAGCATCTGTCTAGATTAATTAACTGTCACATCAAAATCCTAAAGATCATATGCTTCTTAGGCAGCTTTCTCTGTTTATTAGTATATAAACTTTAGACTCTCCTCTATGGCACCAAATTGTCTTGTGATTCTATATTTTAAAATATATGAGATGGTGTAAAGATTTTATGATCAAGCTGAAATCAGGAGGTTTGCCTATATGTTAGAGTAAGCTGTCTGTTTTTCAATGGTTGTGGATCTGTGATGGTCACTCCGGTCTAGAGGATGGTCAGTGATATTAAAGCCAGCTGTGGCCTCAGGGAGACACCGGTGACATCACCCACAAGCCATACTTACTTCTCCTCACACTGCCGAGCCTCTGAGTGTTTAACTCAGCCGGGTGGAAAAAGCTGCTGAGCTGGATATTCTTACCAAGACCGACTGAGATGTGTAACAGTACTCTTAAAAAGCACAGGCTGTTCCCCCAAGACTTCCCTCTCCCCTGGGCTCTGGGTGTCTCTCTCTCCATCTCCCACTCTGTCTGTCTGTCTGTCTCCCTTCCCCCCTCTTGCCTGCCGTATTGATCCACTAAATGCTTTCCGAATATCCCACCTCACTTCCTGCACGTGTTGTTTTTCCTCCAGTGTGAGTCCTCTGGGAGTACAGAGGGAAAATCTAGCCGATAGATTTTCTTTTTTTCTTTTTTCTTTCCACGGGAAGAGCATTTTTTTTTATCTTTTCAGTTTGCAGAGCGAGAAGAACTATCCTACACCAATGCAAAGTCTATGAAAAGTCTAAATCATGCTATTTATACGCAGAGGGCTTGTGCTGAGCTTGGACTTCAGTGAACATTTCTGGACAGATGTCCATGAGAAAAAACAAAATCTCAAATTGCTGAAATACAGCCTATTTTAATTACATTTCTTTGTCTTATACTGAAACAAAGAATAATTTTTGAGCAACTGTGGTACGAACGCTGTATAGGAGAATAAATGCACACTGACAGTAACAGTAAATTAATTGAATAATGTGCTGAAATAAGGCAGAAGTGTAGGCTTTCCATAGGTGTTGATGGCATAAAAGATATAAGAAAATAAAGATTTAGAGAAAAAGAAGCAAAGGAATTTTTAAAATATTTCATTCACACATTAGGATTTCTTTATTTCTATCAACATTCAGATTAAGTGTAATTGATTAGAGGAATGACTGCATCGTACATTTTATTAGGACGTAATATGTGCTCTGATAGCATTAATGTGTGTATGTGTGTGTATGTGTTTCATAGTCCACACTGAATCCTAAATTAAAGAAACATACGATTTATAAATTTATTTATAAGCTCCACAGAGAAAAACAACTGTTTCCTAAAAATAAAACCATGGCCATATAGTTTTGTACACATCTGGTAATAGCAGCCTGCACAAGTTGACTGCAATTTGTCCCAGTAACACAAGACTGCGTGTCTCTCTTTTAGTTCACTTTCACTGACCCAGCTTCACTGTGACGTAGCTGCGTTTGTTCCTCTCAGACAGAGGGGCCGTCCGTTCTGTTTGGCATAACGCTACTATTTATACATGCAGCCATTTTTTATGTCTTAATCCTGGCCAAAATATCTCACACTGAGCCTTTGACTCTTGGCCAGAAGAAAAAAAAAATAGCAACACATTTGCTTCATAAATAAAGCTGAAACTATTAGTGCATGCTTAAAGGAAAAACTGTGGGGTATTGTCAGCGGAGAGCCAGGCTAAGCCGGCCAGTGTGTGTGCGAGGCGCAGCGTCACAGCCACCGCAATATGTGGCACAGTAGGCGATTTTCTAAAAGTGATGGTGTTCAATTAAGAGTAAAAAGGACACTTAATCATGGCATACTGCAGTGGCATGGCCTCTTACAGATTTAAGGGGGACTTTGATCAGTGAACCAGTAGGGGGGAGGGGACAGCGGCTAGCCTCACTTTATGCTATGAGATCACCCTGCAACAAGTGACCAAGGGCTGGTCACCGACAAGGAACAATTACATTGTGTAATTTCTTAAAATGTTAACTTAAATGGTGTTTAACACTCTATTATCCTGCAAGGTTAGTTATATCATCAACAGGTTCAAACACGGAGGACTAATAACAGAAGGCACAAATGCAGACTCTGAACTGCAAGCAGCAGAGTGACATTGTGGGTAAAATCTAGGAAACACTAGCAAGGATTATTTCATAGATTCAGTTCAGTTCTATTCTATTTTATTTACATAGCACCAAATCACAACAACTGTCACCTCAAGACGCTTTACCGTAAAATAAAGATCCTACAATAATACAGATAAAATCCCAACAATCAGACGTCTCCCTATGAGCAAGCACTCGGTGACAGGGAGGAAAAACTCCCTTTTAACAGTTAGAAACCTGCGGACTCCGCTGCAACTGGTTTGAGTTAAGGGGAGGGAGACAGGACAAAAGATAGATACACTGTGGAAGAAAGCCAGAGATTAATAATAACTAATGCAGCGTGGAATGAATCCAGAGGACTTAAAGACAACAGCACATTCCACAAACAGGAGATGGATACACTGAAAAGAATAAGGAAGCGTAGTGTTAAAGTATTCGCTTAATAAAGAAGGTTTCTATTATCCTCACAATTATCCAGACTCAGATTTGAAACGCAAATCTTTTAAACCAACAAAGACGAATGTTTGAGCGTCTACTGAAGGGATATTTTGAAGACACCCACAATTGTAGTGATGCCTCCACAATCCAGACCTAAATACAATAATTACAGAGAAACCAGAAACCAGTTAATTTGTGTTTTATATCCATATCCAAGCCAGACCTAATCAGTTTGGCCCAAATATGTTTTGTGAGATCGCAGTAAACCTTGATCTTTGACATAAAAAAATAGCTGACTGACTCTCTGATGTGGATGAACTGAAAGCTTTTCCAGCTTAAAAACAGATTTTTTAGGTGTAAACTCATGATTGTGGTGTCCAAACAGAAAAATGGTTTTATGTTGAAGGTTTACACATTTGAGCAAATTTCATTTTTCGTAGCAATCCTTGTCAATATTAAGCAGGCTTGTGTTATTTTTTACTTCTTTCCTTTGAAATGAAACCATTTTAACTTTTTAATTAATAAAATGTTTCCAGATACGTTTCTATTTTAACTATTATAATCTTCAGCTATTAACAGGTAAACATTGATAAATACATAAACTGGATATTGTAAGTTTCACAAGTTATTCATTTGTTCCCATTGCAAATTTCCCTCACGTTGGCAGTGGCTTCCTAAAAAACGCCTCCCCCGGGGTGCTGTGAGAGTTATATATTGTGATGAGTTGCTCTAGAAGTTTCCAATATTTCTCTTCCTCGTGCCAGTTGTGCCATCCTGACTTTTAAAGGGTAGCTGCCAGGGATTTTGAGCCCCATTAGTGGGTGGGGAAAACCCTTCTGCTGTGCGCCACCTGCCACTAATCAGCTGACTTTACTTCTTCGAACTTGGTTTGGTGGCTTCAGGTGTGATAGGGGTCTAAATAAATCAGGTATTCTAGCTGTGGCCAGTGCCAACATAATGCAAAGGGAATTTATGGATTATGCTTAAGGGTATGTTGAGCTAAGCTGTCTGTTTAAGATGTAACAGATTATTATTTTTCCAAGAAAATCGAAGAAATAATATAGATGACAGGCCTCTCTCCTGGTTCGGCTTTACTGCTTTGTCAAAGCAGAGCACCTGGATGAGCCGGGTGGACGGCAGAGAAGGGCAGCTGTTCGAGGAAGCCGGCCTCATTCACTGACCCCTCAAATGTCCAGCTGAGACTGATGAAAGGTCACAGGTCAGTGGAAAAACTCTCACGTAATTACAACTCACGGAAGGTATGGTGTCAGTCACAACTGCCAGGAGTCAGTGCCCCCAGCTAATAGCGGCGCTAATATCCCATAGCATTACTGTACGGTGTTAAATGATGCAAGAATCTACCGCGTGTGCATTTTTCAATTTCCGCTTTGAGTCACATCCTGCTGAAGAAGAGAGATGGATTCTTTTTTTCTTTTTGTGCCAGTAAGCATGGGTATCTATGTTGGTCCTTGAACAGGTGTCCGATCATCATGTTAACAAATTATCGTGTTCAAAAACCAAGTCCCACTGGAACAGAAGCATATCGCCTTATACCCACTGAGTGTCTGTCCTGGAAGAAGCAGGTCTGAGCATAAAAGGCGCTTACAGTTTGGTCTTTTAGTCACTACTGGTGGGTTCTAGTTCAGTGATGTTAGCTCGGTGTTTCTGTGGTTTATTCTTTGCATGCTGGGATTTTCTGACATCGCTGTAATGTGGTGGATGAACACAAGCTGCCAGACTATTTTGGCAACCTACACCGCTGTCTCGCCCTCTCCTAACCACAGATAGGGATCAGCAGTCTTTCCTGAGCGAACGTGGCTACCAGGGTAATGTTACAGCCTTATTTTCCTCCGGCCACATACACAAAAGATTAGTAAAGCCATATCCAATATCACAGACTGTCAGGTCCCTTCCAAATCAATAGGCTTAAATCAGAAACCAATCTATATGCTAAGATTACATCACCATAATAAAGATATACCCAAAGTCTATACTCTGTGGGCGTCTTCAGAACCAGAATTTTCAGCATGTGTTGGTCTGCACCATTCGAAGTACTTAAACTATAAGTGAGAAGGACCCCTCCCTTCTTGCCACTTGTTTTTTCTTGTACCGTAAACTTGTCTGTCTAACAGCACATGTGTGGGGGCTTGTTTGCTTTTTAGGGTGTCAGAGTAGCTGGCAGAATGCAGCTGAAAGTCAGCGCCCACCCAGAGGCTCTGCACTGGCCTGTCCTCACTGTCTGGCAGGTGATAGATCAGACACGGAGGCTAACACGTGTTCCTCCAAAGAAAAGGATTTAGCGAAGCGCTGACCTCATAACAACCCTTCTATACATGTACTCGCTTCCCGACACACATGTTAAAATGTATATCACCCCTGACAAGGGGCTCAGAATCGCTCCTTGAGGTCCCGTGCTTGTCACTGACACCGTTCTAGCTTTTTAAAAACATTTTATTTTGTCCACTACACCAGCTTCAACTTCATGAATGATCTCGGCCCTTCTCGAGCTCTGCAGATGTTTTTTATTAGAGCTGCATCTGTGGTTAGGGCGGCACTGCGAGACAAAAATAATAGCCCTTTGTGGACACGCTGGCTCAGATTTATGTAAGTGTAAAACATGATAAAGAGTGATACAAGTGCCATGGCAGTTACGGTTAAGCAGTGCCAGCATTGCCAGGCCACCGGGAGGGGGTTGCAGCAGATGGTGCGCCATGTTAATACCCAACCCAATCCAGTTCCCTTCAACTTTTTGTGTCGTCTTTTCTTCGCCTTTCCCTTCTTATTTTCAGCCCACCCAGACTTAAGAAAAAAACCCGATGACAGCCTTTACTGTAGCTCTTTCTGACTTTCCAGATCAGATGTTGAGAGGCAGCCCTGGAAGGGCAGAGCGGCTGCGCTTTGCAAAGGGTGAGCAGGCCGCGTCGGAGGGGGCTGCACGCCGCATCCCTCTGATTTTTCCCAGCTAAAATAGGGAGCTCCTAATCTCCCTTTGGCAGCGTTAGCCAGCCAGCCAATTCTGACACATTCTCTCGAAAGAAGCGCCTCTGACAGGTGAAAGGCTGAAAATAGTTGAGAGTGAGAAGCTTAAACACGCATGTACACACGAGCACATGTTCACATAGTAACACACAGTCTCGATATGAGACACATGCACCTTTCAGTGATGACAGCTGCTCTGTAGAGCATCTTTTTGTACTAGAAGAATGAATCTCATTTATATCATGAATGATTTTTTTTGGACACTTTTTTTTGTTTTTGCTCAACCTTCTGTCTTCCTTTGTGTATTTTTGTTTTTCTGGCTTCAGTTTTACATTGAAGACACTGCTGATGTGGGTGTTTTTCAGCATATAGACCGATGTTTCTGACCACGTTGCGAAGAATGTGGATTTAGACAATTTGGGTGGGGGCTTTAGGCCGAAAATTTAATCACATACTTAATTCAGATTTCATTTTGATGTTTGTGTTTTAAGGTGGACTTTAAAAATGTTATTATGTATTCTTAAGGGCCGTTTTTTTGTCATTTTTTTCATTGTGGGCATAAAATGAATATTTTGGCAGCTGCTATGGTGAAATAGATATCTGTCAATTTAATGTGCAAATAATAAACGCATAGCAAAATAATCCGCAGGACACACCCGGCGCACCCGCGGCCAGCACATGAAGCGAAACACCGTCACTTCAATAAGAAATTTGCCTTAACGTTTTAACAAGTCAATAAATGTTGTGTATGTGAAAGCAAAAGAGATCAGGTGGCTGTAAAGATTGCTCCAATGTAAATATGCCTCATCGTCTTGCCACACACATGTGCACGCACACAAACACACACAAACACACTCACATAGCAAGAATAGACTTTCAGCCAAGTATCTCAGCCCGTCTTTCTCGCAGTCAGCACAAAGTTATGAGCGTGCTGTAGTATGTGAATTCATATTATCCAGCACACACATTTCTTTTACCCCATAACCTCACCCATGCATCCATACTTTGCCTGTCACACTTTATGAAAGGCCAGCAACCATAAAAAAGGATCTGGATGCCTTTAAGATGATCTGTGGACCCGCCTGGCCCCCGCCGCCCCCAACCCATGTCAGAGGCTCTCGTCTGGACCCGCATTGTCTTGAAGCGCGGAGGCCGATGTGGTTTTGGGCCTGAGGTTAGGAATGCGGTGCTGACGATGACACACACTGCCCCCCTCGCACCCTCTCCGGCCCTCTTCCAGGGGCCTCATTCAGCTGTCTTGTTGTGGTCATATTCTCAGTACTGTTCCATATCACATGGGGAGGAGATAATCCCGCACTGGTGAGATCAGGTGGTCATTGGGACAGGCAGGGCCGACAGAGAGAGGATGTACAAATTGAGAAAGAAGAAACCATCAGAAAACAGATATATTCATCCAAGCACAGCAGATTGTTCTGTTTGATTTTCCAACCCTCCCACTCTTCAGCCTTATCTAACCCTTGTTTTTTTCCCTTGTCGTTGTCCCTGCCCTCCTGCCTCGGGTCTCTGCTGTTTGGAGCGCCGCTAAGCTGTAAACTGAAACTGGTTAGCGCTGAGCTCTTAATTCTTGTCAGCGTCTATTAATTATGGGCCAGTTGGATGTTCGAGTTCAAACAGCCCCCGCGGATCTTGGAATTCTAACTCTGGCTGTTTGGTCACTTGTCGCTTGTTGCAGCTACATGACCTAGCAGCCCACGGCAGGGAAACTGGTGTGTGTGTGTGTCAGTGTGTGTGTGTCTTGATAATGTTGGGGGCAAAAGCAGCAACAATTCACTGTCAGTTAGCCTTACAAGAACATGCTGCATGAATTCGGTTTTGGTACCTTCTTAATATATTTATGCATTAAACAAGCTTATTATTGTGAAAGGCTTAACTAACTGCATAACCCTTTATTAGGCCTCTGTGTACCATTAAATAGAGAGAGAGAGGCTCCTGAACTGATTTAATATCTGGAGTACATGCACACTGTTTCCTGAAGCCCAATTTATCATTTTAAATTTAACTTAACCAAGAGTAATGCTAAAAACAACCACTAAAGCTCCATCTATCGCAAACCCAGCTCCTGCCTGCCTAACTGACTAATTAAAACCGCATCCACATGTGTTCAAAGAACAAGAAGTCTATTTGCAAGCCTTATTGATTACTTTAAGGCGTACAAATGGAAAGCTGTGTTAGGAGAGGGGCTCTCGATTTAGCTTCAATCTGCCAGGCATAAAATGATCTCACTGTGTTTGCTGGGAAGAATGAGCTCCCTCTGGGCACGGTGGGTAATTAGGTTAGTGGATAGTCGGTGTCAGGAAATTGAAAGACCATCCTAATCGGATTCTTTTGTTTCCAGGGGAATCAAAGGAATTTATATGAGTCACTGGGAAATCTCACACGACTTAATTCCACTTGACCATGTAAAATCTGTTTGCTCTCCCTCAGTGCTCAAACAACTTTTAATGCGAACGTATCAATTCAGGAGACAAGGTGCATCCAGCCCGCGTCCTCTGTGATGGCTTTGAAGATAATCCTGCATGTGAATGCTTAAACTTCCACTCAGAAGTCCTGCTTGATGGTTGAAAGGTTAAAAATAAAGGAATGTAACTGTTTATGTAGATAAATGACAGAAAAATGCTGTTATCCTAATTTTTGTACTGTATATTATATGAAGAATGGTTATATAGTATTTGTCATATACAGGGTAGAAAATTAAAAACCCTGAAATGCTCGTGAGAGTCTGATGACACAGCAAAATAGGTCAAGTTTCCCCCCCAATAAATAGGCTACAGTTTTATAATAAGCTGTAGTTATGGTAGCAAATACGATGCCATAAAATAGGTCGTTATAACTGAATGTAACTTTCAAAAATTAAGCATATAAAAAGAAAGTGAGAAAGTCAGCAGCAACGCCTACTTCCAAACAAAACAAGTGAAAAGTTCCCTTTTATTTTATCATTACGTTTTGTGGATTCGTCAGAGTGGCTTTGGTTTATCTTATGCATACGTGATATTTTTAATTATTTTTCTTTGCAGGTGTGCGTCTGGATCGAGTGAGAGGGGGGCGTCAGAAGTACAAGCGGCGGTTGGATGCCGAAAACGGCGCCTACCTCGGCCTCACCCTCCCCCCTCCAGCCAAAAAACCACGTGAGTCGCTTTTTTGTTGCTTTTTTCTTTTTTTTCATTTAAAATCTCACTCAGTAACAATGTGTGTATTACCTGAGCATTACAAAAAGCATTAACTTTATTAGTTAATATGATGGGACATAAAGCTGTGAAATGAATCCCCTTGAGGAATATGGCGAGAGCATTGTTATCTACATCCAAAGATGAGATTGATGTGGCACAATATGATCATATTTTTAGGCAAACACTGTTGCCTAAAACTGTCGCACACCACAGTACATTTATATTCCTTCACGCCCTCCGTCCTTCTCTCTATCTCTCTCTCTGTCTCTTCCCCCTCTTAGTGACAAAGATCGTCTCTCATTTGCTGGTGGTGGAGCCAGAGAAGATCTATGCCATGCCTGACCCCACCATGCCGGACGGAGACATCAAGGCTCTGACAACGCTTTGTGACTTGGCTGACCGCGAGCTGGTGGTCATCATTGGCTGGGCCAAACATATCCCAGGTAGAAACATGTGACTGCTCTTGACTGAACCTGTCATCAGGGCTCTGGCTTTCCAAACACTTGTCTTAATGTGAAATTTCAGACATAGGTGCTTTTTATACAGGCCATCTATTAAGTTGCTAAAAAAAAAAAAAGGTTCACGTGTGGTTTTGTGCAGTTAGTAAAGCGGAGGAGAAACTGCTCCCATTTGCTCTTTGATTTTCTCAAATGTTACAGTGTGAGATTAGTGGAGTACTTCACCGACTGCTGTACATAACACGCCACCCCCTCCCGTTCATACGCATGCACACACACAGGATAATTAACATCTGCTACTCATCTGCACCTAAGGGAGAAGCTAGTCCCATATTCTAAAATCTAATCAATAAAGAGCAGCTGAAACCTTTGATTTGACTGGGGTGGGGTGGAGTGGGGTGGGAGAGTCTGTGGGGGGGGACCCGCCCCTATGTCAATGTATTCCATTTCAATCCCAGACTTAAAGAAAGCAATCCTCTTACTTACTTAAGGAGACTACGCAGGGCCTGTGGTGAAATTGATTTATTTAGGGAAATACTGATGGATTTCCCTTCTCCTTGTTGATGAATTCTTAAATAAGACTTGCTATGCAAATGTTCTTAGATCTTCCGGTCTTCTCATCTTTATCGGCTGAAGGAGACACTTTGGACCTCCGCGTGTTCATAAGGAGCACTGGCTGGTTTCAAAGTATATGCAAGCCATTGATCTGGTTAAATAAAGCATGTAAAAGACACACGTGTTGTCAATTCAATTATTATTCAATTAAAGCTAGTAATATTCTTCACTGATGCATTTCTTAAAGGGGTTCCTAACTGATTAAAATAAATGGCAGCAGTCAGGACACAAATTTTATCTTCAGTTGTCTTTTGTTGTGCATTTATTTCAAGGTGATAACAAAAAAAACCAAATCCTTACGTCAGTGTAAGGAACTAAAAAAGGTCTCGTGCTTGCTTAAACACAATTAATTAGTCGTAAAAACAAAAATGAATTTATTCAGAGTAAATAAAAAATGATTTTTTGCCAAAACGATGGAGTTTTTTTCTCTCTGTCTCCTTTTGGGCTGGCACAGTGCTGTCCTATTTGTCCCATTTACTGACTCATCGTCCACACTTAAAGCAAGACTATGAATCGTTTGCTGAGCAGTGGCCCAGAGTAGTTATAGGACGATGGCAAATACGGTTATGGGAAAAAGAAAGTACATCCTCTTTTAATTTTGTGGCTTTACATATCAGGACATAATAAAAATTATCTGTTTAAAATTAAGTAAATAAAGCCTCAAAGGAAATGCACATGACATGTAACCCGTGTCATTACTTATTTGACAAAAACGAAAAGATGTAGAAGTGTGTAAACAAAGTACATCCTTACTGCTTCTGTAGGAAATAGAAAGATAAGTGGCAGCAAGCTGCTACTAATCAAGTTAATTAATTGATCATCAGCGAGGGTGAGCACCTCTGTGAAAACTGAGGTTTTGGCAGTTTGCTGGTCTGTGGTATTCAGATGTGTGTTAATGTAATGCCAAGCAGCAAAGATATCAGGAATGTATGGGCTCAAATTGTGGTCATAAATATTTTGTACTTGTAAATCAAATGCGTAGTTGTGAACTGAGTTTTGTAACCTTGTAAACCAAAATATCTGAAACTTTTATATGGAAAGCGCCACTCCAACAGCCAAACCCATCTGTTCTCTGATTGGATTGTTAAATTTGTGATTGAGATGACATTGACCAATCAGCTGAAAGGAAGAAAAAACGGGTAAAAATTCGTACTTGTAAGTTGAAACTCACACACAGCCAGGAAACTTGAGCGCAGAGCTTTACACATAGTTTTTTGTTTTGTATCTGTAAGCAGACCTTAACAAAAAAAACTGTAACTTGTGTAAATATTTTTACAAACACAAATCTTTTTTACACACACACACACACACACACACACACAAATTCTCATCTACGAATGCACAAACATAAAATTTTCAGATAATTTGGTTACAAAACTCAGTAGTACAAACTATTTATGACCACAATTTGAGCCCAATGTTCTTGCACATCAGTCTGGTAAGAGTTAAAGTTTTTTTTTTTTTTAATTGAACTCCAGTGAGAAAGCTTATTCACGGGTGGAAAAAGGATCAAGTCCAGACCTCAATCTCATTGAAATACAGGGGACCTTAAGAGAGCTTGACATAAACAAACCTCAATGGGCTAAATCAGTGGCATAAAGAAGGTTACAATGATTTGATGTCATACAGAAAACAGTTACTTCAAGTTATTGTCACTAAAGCCGGTTCTACTAACAACTGAATCATGGGGCGTATTTATTTAGCATTTTGGCATTGTTTAATAAATAATGACACTTATATGTCATTTTGTTGTTTGCCTTCAAAGTAAAAGTTGACGCTTTTGAAATGCATTGGCTGATGCAGGAAAATTTACTCTAATAGTAAATATTTTTTATTTCCGGTTTGCGTTGTACTTTTTTAAGTTTAACTAAAGCTCAGAGAGATGTCTGCAAGTATTTGCAGTACTTCCATGCAAACTACTGACAACCCTGGCAACTAACTAGGGACCTTACCTGACAACCTTATGACCTGTGTTTGCCAGATGGTCGTTGACAGGCTCGTGTGATTGAGGCCTTAGCAGTAAGAAAAGTTCAGGAATGGAGAATGACATTAGGAGACAACTCCTCCACATTATGTGTCAATTTGCTGTAGACCAGTGATTCTCAAATGTATGCTGTGTTCCACTAGTGGGGCACCTAGCCACTTCATCCACAGTCAGCCAAGTGGGCAACCATCTGAAAACAGCATCGATTGCATAGTGGAGTAACATGAAGGAAGTTACCTGTTGGGGAAAGCTTACATCATCTGTTTGGACTGTGGGCCAAAATGAGCTGAGCCCAAACCAGCCCTTTGAACTTTACATGAATGTTTAGGAAAAGAGAAGCCTTATTAAACGATTAGCCAATGGAGGGTTGCTGGGGTTTGAGACATGCTGTCTCACCACTCTCGAGTTTACATCGAGAAACAAGCGTTAACAGGAACAAAAGGAGCTTCCCTGACCCAAATGCACAGTTTTTGGGTTTTGTTTTTTTTTTTTTACTCCTGACCTCTTTTCCATCCAACATCTTGTGAACAAGGGAAAAAATCTAATTCAGGTGTATTTTTCACAAAAGAGCCAAATAGGGTAACTACAGTCAAATTCCTCAATTTAATGGAGCCCCATGGGGCCTGTAATGAATTTTACTGTAATGTTTTTCCACTGCCTTATTCTCATTACATTTTTTTATATATATACATATATATATAAATATAAATAAAAAAGTATTGATCTTGTATGGTGTGAGGATCTAAATCCAGATCTGTCAGAGTTATTAAAGGCAGCACGTGACACTCTGGAGACATTTTACCCGCGGCCACTGGGTCAAAGTGTCACCAAGTAACGATTAAGACAAAAGGGGTCCCTACAGTTTAACAGTCCACTCCCTCCATTACACTCATAGCCCACTGCGCAAATGGCCTTAACGATGAGGTAATAGGAGTCATTAGCGCAGATCACTCCATTAATGTGAAAGTCCTTCAGCATCCACATGTGGAGAGCTGGGAAGAAACATGTAATACTCCTACACGTGTTCATTGTGAAGGCTTAAATATTTGTGTTTTACAGCTGGAAAGAAGTAATTTGATGAATTTTTAATCCTCAGTTTAGTTTGGTTTAGGTTTTTTTGTGTGCAAAGGAGCCAATTAAAAATATTGAAGTTTTTAAAAAATAAAACAAAAACACACATTTTGGCTTCAAGAAGATGATAGGAGACATGTTATTGTAGCCCTTGATTTGTAACCACACACACACAGACCACCTCACAAAGCGTAGACTACATTCAAGTCAAAAGCGTACAGCGCCCTCTATTCACTTTATCTAATGCTCGTTCTTTTTCCTTTCTTTTTCTCTGTTTCTGTCCCGCGCACCCTCTGCCATAATATCTTTCACACACACTCTCTGGCTTCCTTGTTCTCCTGTTCCCCTGGCTCTCCCTCTTCTACTCCTCCTGCTCATATAGGGCCCTCAAGTCTCATTATTACCTCTGTCTTTTTATTAGGCCCATTAGGGCTCTTAGGAGGCCTGTAATGATACTAAATGAATAGAGAGTGAACTGCTGTCTGTTTTAGACCTCGCTCTCAATGACAGCTTCAAGCTTCACTGCCAACCACTCAGTCTCCTCACTGTACTGAGCAGGGCCTCAGTTATCTTACACGCACCTGTATTTTTTTTGTTGCATTACCAGAACCCTGCCAAACAGTTCTTTTTTTGGGGACCTGGGGACCTTTAAAGATATAGACATATTGCTGACTAACATGCTACATTGGCTAAATATGGGTTTTTACAGTGTTACAGTATTGTAATGTGTTTGGTGAAACGGCAACACCCCTCTCCACACACACACACACACACACACACAACAACAACAACAGCCTCCCCCTGCAGGTCAATGCATTACTACAAAAGCTGCCCCACAGTTTGCAGAGCACAACATGGTTTTAAAACAGTGAACAGTGTGATAGATGTAAAAGCAACAAAAATACTTCTGATTTTGATTTTAAAGTTAGCAAAAAACAGTCCCTATTTATTTTAATGCTCAATGCATTTTGTTATATAACTTACTGTCTCTTTCTTTATGGCTAAAAAATTTCATTTTGATTACATTTTGTCAGCGTAGTAAATCTTTTTGTAACTATTAGCATTAAAATGTATTTGATCACTAAAAAAAACAGCAGTTTACATAGTTGGATCAAAATTTTGCAGTGTTACAAACCTTTCTATTCCCTGTAGCCATGCACTTGGCAATGGGAAGAAAAAGACTCCCTTTTAACAGGAAGAACCCTCAGACAGAACTAGGGGGACGGGGAGGGGCAGCCATCTGCCTCAGTCAGCTGTGGGGAGTGGCGAGAGAAGAGATGAGCGCAGAGCAATAACACACTATAAACACTGAGCAGGTTAGTTGGGCTCGTAACTACAGATCATAAATGTGTAGCTTGTGCAGAGAGGTGCAAAGAGAGAGTACAAAGCACAAGCTGGAGGAGAGAGAATTCAAATTTAATGGCATGCAGTAGTGGCAGATAAATGCACGGAGTTTTCAGGGTCACTGAGATAGTTTAATTATCAAAAAGAAAATTGTCAAGCTTAGTCATAAAAGTAGAGAATGTGTCTCTTTCCAGTCCCTGTTGGTATACTTGCTGTGGCATTTTTGTAACAAGGAGTTCAGCCTGGAATTGAAAAATGTTTGGACTAGTTCTTCTAGTATCTGAGACAGGGTGTTCCTAATTTTGGCAATAATACACAGAGTGAAGAGGTAAAAGACATACTTTGGTGAAAAATGGCCTGGTTAGCAAAACTTAGCTTAAAAGAGTTAGCAGTAACTTCTGAGTTTTAGGTATTTATGGGTATTTGAGTAGCCCTCTATTTACAATACTTTTTTTTTACAGTTTTTTTTCCAACGACCCTCTATACTATAGATTAGATTAGATTCTATAGATTAGTGTCATAATTTTCCTTTTTGATAAAGCATTTGTTAGAGGTGGATCAGGTGACCCTATATCCTCCCATAGTTATGCTGTAGGCTGCTGTTTCTTCTTCACTCACATTTTTTCACTTACTATGTGTTTATACACCACTCTGCATCTAATTATTACTTATGCTTTGGAAAACAGCCAGAGATTAATAATATCTTTTGTCGTGTCTCCCTCCCCTCGCCCCCAAACAGTCATGACAGACGGCTGCCTCTCCCTGACCCTGGTTCTGTCAGAGGTTTCTTCTTGTTAAAAGGGGTTTTTTTGTCTTTCCCACTGTCGCCAAGAGCTTGCTCATAGCACTTTGTCTGATTGTTGGGTTTTTGATGAATTATTGTAGGGTCTTCCTACATAAAGCGCCTTGAGATGATGTTTTTTTTCCACTATATAAATAAAATTGAATTGAAGTAAAGTGAACTGTAACCTCCAAAAATTAGGCTTCATTGAGCCCTATAAGTAGTAATTTGCACTCTTGCACTGACTTTTTTTTATTCAAAGTGTCTTTTAGGCATTTTTTCAATAGTCTAGATTTCTTTAAAATCATTTAAAGAAATCACTTTAAGTTTAAAATAATTTTACCTAAACCTAATTTCGGGTGCTTCTTTGTTCACAAGGGTCACCACAGCTGATAGCTCCCCATGTTTTTTTTTTCTGACGCAACCCTAAAGGGGATTTCTGTCTCAACTGGAATGGAACCAGCAACCTTTTGTTTGTGAAGCAAATGTCTAAGTCACTACACTATGAAGACGTATAACGATAAAGCATATAGGATGTAAAATTAAGGATTTTGATTTATTCAGCTAACAAGTAAAACATAAATACTCTAAAACCCTGTAGTTTAGCAGAACAGCGTCGCTGTTCATGTTCTTCATCTCCATGCAGAGAGACTGCAAACACAGAGATGCTGACGTTGCCTGGTTTGCTCAGTATTGTGTCATGTTTGGTCAAACGGCATCAAATCACTAGGGTGAAATATTGATATTTCATCAGGGGGATTCACCCTCCACAGTGACACTTAACTCAGCCACCTCCAGGCGACGCACATCCAGCTCCAGGCTAACCCAAGGGAAACCAGGAAGTCACTAAATTGCTTCAGTAAATTGAGTGTTTAAAAAAAGAGAAAAGAAAAAGGGGGCCAGGAGTGCTGGGGGAAAATAAGGGAAATATATGCATGTCTTCACCAATGAGTCACAAAATGAAAAGCACAGTGCAATGTTCTGCTGGGAAAACCTTTAGTCCTGGCCTCCATGCCGATGTTACTTTGACATGTCACAAGTTCCAAGGGAGCAACTGGAGGAATTTTACAAAGAGCTCGAAACTTTATCTGGACTACAAAGTCCAGTTGAGCATCTGTCCCACATGCAAAAACAGCCCAGGTTCACGAAGGCCACACCCAGCAGCTCTCAAGACTCAAAGCATTTGTTACCAATGTCCTGATGCCTGACACTACAGGTTACCCATGATAAGCAAGCTTTTGGCATCACAAAGGGAGGGCATTCTGCACAATTGGTGGTTTTATGTTGAGGCAGTATATTAAAGGTATGCTACATTAAATGGAGCTAATAAGCATGATTTTTAGCCCGAAGTGTTCTTGCTTTACAGTTATTTAAACGGGTTGTTTCTGTATGTAACTATGCTACTTTTTTCTAACTGTCAGACTTATTTTGTCCTGCCTCACTATTCTAAATAAGCTTCACCAAATTTAGGCCATTCATTTCTCTTGTCTTTGGGGAATCTGGAGTAAACTCATGAATTCCTGACACAGCATTGATATCTACATTCAGTGATCCTGTGGTCCTCTCTTCCCCCCACTAAACATGTACCGGATGTCCTCCATCAAATGTCTGTTTGTCAGATCTGAGGCTTGGATCGATACCCTTTCGCATTTGGTGGACTGATTACAATCTACTAATCAATGACACCCCCAGCACTCTTTTCTCTCTGTTTCATTCTCTCGCTTCCCGCCGTTCCTCTATTTGCTTGATAAGAAACATCGGGAGGACCCCTTTTAAGTCAACCTGTCCGATTCCGATCCATACAAGTTTCAAGATTTAAGTAAGCAGCGTGGTGAGTTCAAGGCCCTGGTCAATATCCCCCAATCACCTTCCTATTCACCATAGAGTAGTGAAAGGTATTGTGGCCATTGAGGTCCTTTCAGGTGTTTGATGTGGTGTGTGTGAATGTTAGAGGTGAAAGTTGATGGGTCGACCTCGAGATTTGGATGAATTGCCACACCAAGTTCAAAAGGTTGAACAACACAGGAAGAAGCCTGCATGTGTGCTTTGTTATTGGATCTTAACATTGCTGCGTTTAAAGCATTCCCCTTCATAATTCCATCCCAATCCCAGTGAATATGTTATTCAGTATATGTACGGACCTGATTTCTCCTGTTGCAAAACTCTAAGCAAATTCTCACACACTGAAAATCAGCACATTAATACACTTGTGATACATGATGGTAAATGTTGTTGGGAGAACTACACCACAGCTACAGAACAGATCCAGTTTCTTAATCATGGTGGCTCAAAATTCCTGTGAATGAACTAACCAATAAATACCAGTTCAGAGTCCACAGCCAGAAGAGGTGAGTTGAAAGTTGATGCCAATAAAGAATATGAACAATGTGGTAGGCAGGAACAGGATTAGAGTGAGACACCATGTTCATATACAGGGAATGATTGTGCATGAACAGGAAAAAAGACATTTTACTATGATACGCAAATCTGTGTATGTCTGTCCATATGCTTTTGCTACCAAACTTGGTACGCAGGCTCATCTGATACACCTGAAGGTTGTTGTCTATATCAGATATTCTGATGCCCAGCAACCAGCTAATAACAGGTTAAAATGACTTGATATTAGCATTTCTGAAGCTGCAGCAACTTATAAAAGGATTTTATAGTTTTAGTTTCACAACAATAACACATCCACAAAATTTAAGTTATGGATGATATGTTATGATACCTTCAGGTTCCATGAGAACCATATTACAAATGACTAAAATTACCTTTTTAACCTTGAATGTACAACAATCCACAATACCTCATGAAATCATCCTATTGTTTTCAATTCACAACATTAACATCTCATTTATATCCACAAAAGTGGAATTACACATGATATATTATCATCATGTTGCATAGCAACCACCTGGCAGTGGGCTGAAATGACCCAATTTGTGCATTTATGGGGCTACAATTTATAAAGCATTGATCATTTTAATTTAATGACCATCAGCAAAAACGGGTCAGAAAGTACCGTGACATGGGCATGTACTATTAGAGTTTCTTGTTGTAGTAAATGTTTTATGTATATAAGTATTATAAACCTGTAGGCTATATCTTTTATAGATAAAGGGTACTTTCACTTGCTTCCTTTAAAAGAAAAAAAATCATCAGATGGTCTTTCTGATGCAAACAGAGGTTGTTTTTTTTGATTCAGAAGTGTTTTGATTACTGTTTGAAAGGTTTTTCTTTACCCTTTTATAAAAAGGGCGGAGGAATCCCACAAAAGTCTCTTAGAAAATGCGAAAACTATAAAATGGTGAAGTCTAATTATAAATCCACACGATCTTCTTTTTTTCTCCTTCCTATTTTCTCAGTTGGAATTTCAGTACATTAATTTAGTCTGTTTTAAATGACAGAATTAACTTTGAAGTTGTTGTAAAGAAGAAGTGAATGTCTATTCACCCGTCCTTACTCGGACAATGATACGATATAATCAGTGTTAAGTCTGGATTTGTCCTCACTAAGCAGGGTCTCATGTGCTTATGCAGTGGGTTGCAGAAGGACTGAGTTGATGGCTGAGGCAGCCCTGGCTCATGTTTCAAAGGCCTCTGCTCCTGACTGATTTATATTGCTCCCTGAAAGCCACTGCATACAGCGGTCGGTCTCTGTTTCAAGTCGGACTTCTTTGAGGATTGCGCAGCAATTGTACATAGCCCATAAAGCACACAGAGGACTGAAAGAGGCAACAATTGAGCAGGGGGGTTAATAGGCTGCCCTCTTACTATGTCACATGGTTGTTCTGTGTGAGGGCTCAGCAGTACCTAGAAAATGTTCAAATGTGACATATATTTTCTTTATACTCCTGCAGGCTTTTCCACACTCTCGCTGGCAGACCAGATGAGTCTATTGCAGAGTGCCTGGATGGAGATCCTGGTGCTGAGCATTGTGTTTCGCTCACTGCCCTGTGAGGATGAGATAATGTATGCGGAGGACTACGTGGTAGATGAGGAGCAGGCGAGGATCTCAGGCCTGCTGGACCTTCATGTTGCCATCTTGCCATTGGTCCGACGCTACAAGAAGCTGCGTATGGAGAAGGAGGAGTTTGTTACGCTCAAAGCCATTGCACTCTCTAACTCAGGTAATCTTCCATTCACCTGTTAGACTTAAATTCACAATCCTAATCTATGAGTTTGTGAACAGCACAAATATTGTAGGCTCAAATTCATAGAAACGTTGGATGAGTAGTGGGTTTGGATCTTCATAAACATCATAGTGCATCAATAAGTAGGCAGAGCAGGATTGTGTTGCTGAATGCAAGTCAAAATGATGGGATTACATCCTAAACCAAGTTCTGTTTATTGTATTTGGCTTCCAGAGAGTTTAAGTTTTCCAAAAATCATCTATTTAAAACTCCCAGAGATAGTAGTGGCTCAGTGGCATACTTGCGTTGACTACTACCCCCACCCTGTCACGGCAGATGGCTGCCCCTCCCTGAGCCTGGCTCTGCCAGAGGTTTCTTCCTGTTAAAAGTGAGTTTTTCTTTCCCACTGTCGCCAACTGCTGTACAGGGATCATCTGATTGTTGGGGTTTTCTCTGGAGGCTCTTTTCCCTCCAACTTAAAGCACCTTGAGGCGACTGTGATTTATCGCTAAAGAAATAAAATTAAAGTAAATTAAAATACTGTAATCAAGTAATCGAAAACCGATTAGTCACTTTTGCCAAATAGCCTTTATTTTCTCCGCAGTAATGACATAGACAGGAAGGTACATCTTTATATAAAATCTCAAGTAAAGCCTGGCAGTTGGCATTTAATTAAACAGACAAAGAAATAAAACACAGGGATAAAAAATGTCGAGTGGTTATCGGTATCTTGTGGCACCATCACCCCCACAATGAAAGATCCCCGATAAGAGAGGACATAAAGGTCAAGATCAAGATTTTTTTTTAATTTAACTTTGTGTCTGTGTCTGTATCTATATTTTAATTTGTGTGCAGATACATGTGCACGTGTGTGTGTGTGTGACTGTCACATTGCGCTCTCATTCTCTCCATCTCCATAACAGTAGCTGCCAGCGTGCCACAGCCGAGGGAGATATATTTAGCATTTCATTAGAAAAACAGGGGCTGTCAATAAAATGTGTTAAGTGGAGTGGAATGAGCGTCGGGGAGCGACGGGCCTCGTTTGTTCCAGTGTGAAGATGCTGCGCCCGTATTGACAGTTTGCTTTTCATGAGGCTGGGCCTGTCCCCCGCTAATCAATGCCTGTTAGGAGTCTTTTCTCCTGCCTGACTGAAAAAAATGAAAAATGCTGAGCCCAGAGCTTTAGTCTCCTGATGACAAACACTCCATGGGAAAGTTGGGGATAAATAGGAGGGGAGGTGATGGAAAGACAGGGAGGTAAAGGTATAAGGAAGACGTGTGAGAGAGAGAGAGGAAGGCTAGGGTTCAGAGGGGTTGCTCTGGGAGGGCGAGGGGGCAACTTCGGCTCGTTTGAACACAGTCTCGGCGAGCTTCGGCTCCAGTGGTCCTCTGGGTGTGACAGCTGTGGAAATTCATGGCCATTGATTTTGTAATTAGCAAAGTATCGACGGGATTGACGCCAGGCTGCTGACGGATTACATGGAAATTGTTTCTTCAAAGTTAGTTTTGCATTCCTCCCCCAGCCCCAGCCTCCTTAAACACACACAAACACACACACACACACACTCGTGCTTTACGCGTGCACCCATTTAAAAACATATTGCTTATTTTCCACTCTCTTTCTCACATCTGAGCGCGCGCACACACATGATCGTGCAGCCTAATGAGGATCAGATCAGCATTAACATGAAGGTTTCAAATGAAGAGTGCTGGAACACATGTGCGGTCCACATAGCCTAGTTAATTTCCCAAGATAGAAATGCAATTTACACAGAAGGCGACTGGTAAAAGAGACTTAATCAGTCAGTTAGGAACATAATTAGCCTTGTACTTTCCCTTTTTTCTGCCTCATTTACGTGTTCATACACGGTCTTACTTCACGCCACAACTTTCATGACACATAGCAGAGCTGATCTCATTCACTTACACTTCAATCAGCAGCCGTGTTTGCCTTCTCTTTAGCGCTACTCCGTATTACTACCAGGGTAGGACGAGTTTATCTCAGTCTGTGAGATTTGATTATAATACTGTATTGAATTCGCATTTGCGTCGTGCACGGCTTTATCTGTGAGTTAATGAATTGTGGATATGATGCATACACAGATTAGACCTGACACAGTATGTCAGTGCAGTGAAATTGGCTGAAAGCAAACCAGTGCTTGTCCATTAAAATGCTCGCTGTCAGCTCGTCCTTCGGAGGACAAGCCTGTTTTTTTTCTCTCTTTTTTTCCCCTCCAACATGTAGACTTATACGTAGAGAGCAGTTTTTAATAAGTCTCAACTGGTTTTATTTTAGAGCCTATACATAAGGGGGCCAACTGCTCTTTCTTATGGAAATGAAGCCCATCTGCCACCATCATTCAGCTGAATGATATCCTAGTAATGCAGCCATCTGAATTCATTAGCAGGGGGGATGTATGTGGTCCATGATACCAAAAGAAATGAATCTTTTTTTTCCTCTCCTGCTGTATATTTATATATACCTACTGTACTTCCCTCTCTTCCTATGTCTCCCGAGACTCCCAGCCATGCATAGTCATTTATTTAAGGAGCGTCATTAAGCACTAAGAAGCAAAATTGCACGTTTGCATATACAAGCTACTGAGTTTAAAACCAGATGATGCAGCTGCAAAACATGCAGTTGTTGTCAGTGTAGATATGAAACATCTGATTTGTCTTAGGCATTTTTGTCATTCCGACTTTCTTCTTCTCGCTCCAGACTCCATGCACATAGAGAATATCGAGGCTGTCCAAAGGCTCCAGGATTCTCTTCATGAGGCCCTGCAGGATTTTGAGGGTTCCCAGCACCCAGAGGACCCCCGGCGGGCAGGCAAGCTGCTCATGACACTGCCTCTGCTCCGTCAGACTGCCACCAAGGCCGTTCAGCACTTCTACAGCATCAAAATGCAGGGCAAAGTCCCCATGCACAAACTATTCCTCGAGATGCTGGAAGCCAAGGCTTGACACCCGGGCCGGGTGTTTGACGTGCAGCTGCATCACCCAATCCGAGGCGAGGGACAGCCCATTAAAAAATAAATCAATAAATAAAGGTGGTGCCAACTGACAATGGAAGGATGAAGCTTGGAGTCATTTTAACACTTTTAAACAAAACTAAACTTAAAGGTAACTAAAGGGACTTGAAATAGTTTTAAAAGGTGGGCAATTATCAGACTGATTGACAGGGGATCACGATTATGTATATAAGGATGTTGTGTACAGAAATCAGGCAGCCGAGGTCTTGTTATAACCAGAGACCCGTTGCTCTATATCACCTGAAGGTTCTGTGAATTTGTTTCTTATCTTATTTTCATCTCAAAATGGAAATGTGATAATATAAATGTCCTCAAGAACTGTACAGCCACGTAGCCACATGTTTTTATTTCCTTCTCTCACGTTTTCTCATCGCAAGCTGTTAAAGCAATAGTCTCTAACTGGTCTACATATAATATGTGTACTGTATATTGTGTGAAATTGCACTGGACATGTGGGGTTGGGGGAGGGAGAACTGTTAGACATATTCTTGTATTGAACATCGAAGACAGTGGTACTCGTTACAGTAAGATTCTCCATTTCTTCATTATATATTTACCTCGTAGAAGCTTCATCAGCTCAGTGGTTCGGTCAACTTGGTGCTTGCAGAAGGACGGTGGTTGGCTGGTGATCAGAGTTCACTGAGAGTTTGCACTGAGCAGCTATGAATAATGTGGCAATAATGAGTATTGTATCAGCTCACTCTGTCGGTCCTTTTTGCTTTTAGAGGCTAAACTTGTCCCTCGCTTCTCTTTGTCCTCATGCACATCTATTGGCAACTAAACGTACTGTGAAACCTGCACGTGATAACGATAAGCTATATTTAAGAATGAAGTTAAACACAATGAATGCAATGTAATACGCCCTTTAATGCAAACTGACACCCCTAATATGAAGACCTCAGCAACTATACAATATCATTCAGTTTGTTTCGAAAGCTTTTTGTTGACGATGGTGCGCTAGATTGTGATATTTTGTACAGGCTTTGCCTTTTCTTGTGAAACTCTGCTCACCTTTGTTTTAGTTTGTTCTCAACACAACAAGTGTCACTATATTGATAGCCCATAGCTGAATATGTCTGTAAAGTATGAACAGTATTATTTGCTATTTAATTTAACATCATCTGTGTCGATATAATGGCTACAGTCAATTAATATTATTAATTTGTGCGTTCAAATGCTCGTCATAATGTCCCAGTTGGTTTGTTGGGAAGTCTTTTTTTCCAACTGAAGTGTTATCACGTGCTTTGATGTAGGAATGTAGGAGTTTTAAACTAAAAAAAATGATGCTTTACATGACTTTTTATCAGGATAACTGATAAAATAAAATAAAAAAGACTCTTTGTAGACACCAATTTGTGGTTGTAGCATAAGATCATATTGCAAATGAGATGAAGGAAGAAAAAAGTTTATATGCAACATGCTAAATTATACCCAATTTTTTTTTTTTTTTTTTGTCAGGAAACATTATGATCCTTACTTTCCTCACTTTTCTTTCGCCTTAATTTCTCTTTTCATCCAAATCACAATAATGACACTTGTTTGTCTGAGAACAACCTGAAAGGCTCTCCGAGTTCATTCTTAGTGGCAACAATAGTGGAAAATTATATATCTCACTGACCACCAGATGCAGCTTTCGGATGTTTTGTAGTTTTATTGGTCTTTAGCTCATTTTTAATAAAGGTGCTAATATTCAGACAGGCACTGTGTACAAACATACTCCCATTAAGGAGTACAGGCTAAGTTAATAAATCTGTATATTCCAAAAGTGATGGTAGTCTTTTGGAGCATAATATCTATCAGTGATGAACCAGTTGCCAAATTACTCAATTAGGATAAAAGTGATAGAGTTATGAACATATTATTTCCTGTCCTGATGACCTGAGCAGGTTAGATGGAACATGTTACCATATGATCAAAACAGTATACTAATAATAAATGAAACAGCTGCTCTTAGGGTTTTAGTAAGACACATATTGTCCCTCGTGAACACTTAAAGTAGTCTTTAAAGTGTCAAGTGCCATTAGCTTCTGCCCAAACAATTATAAAGCATAAAGCCAAGCTGCCAGTAACTATTGACGATTCCCACAGGAACACTCCTGATTCACTGTAATGTAATGCATAGATAATTATAACCATATACATTAGAGAATACAATTCCCACGATGCACTTCCTCACTTGTTAACCAGCTTTTCTGTCCCCGGCTGAAATGAGGGATTCATCACCTCTGTACAGTAGCAACCCAAAGCATTATTGTCTTTTTAATACACGTTATGAAAGCTGCTGTATTAGGCAGACATGACTGCTGTTTCCACATAAATACAGATGTTAATGGTGAGCATACCCTTTCTGCTCTGTATCCACTAAACCTAACAACAAAACATGCTGGAAATCTTTTATCTTCTTTTGTTCGCTCAATAGAGGCATTGATCGATCATTAGTTCTGTGAAGTCTCACTCTGAGATAAAACAAGTCGAAAAAGTGAAAGGATTTTTTTTTCTTTTTCTATTTTTTTGTACTAATTTGAGGAGAGTGTTTCTGAAAATGGCTGCAATCCAGCTCGACCAAAACAGGAAAACTGACCCTCCCTCCTGATCAGAGTTCATTTACACACCTCCTCCATGCTCTTTGAAGACTTGATAGCAGATTAATTGTTTCCCAACTTCCACCCCCCCCCTTCTCCCAAATTAATATAAGAAAATAAAAGAAAATGCTTAATTTATTTCCAGACTTCTAAAACAGTTCGACTACATCCAATTAACTCTAATTGTCTCCTAAGCTGAAATTCTCAGTAGAAATGGAGCAATTAAATTTCTGCTTTGGCTCTACCTTGGGGACGAGAGACGTTTTACTTTGGTTGATGGTGGGAAGGGTTTGTCTAAACCTTTACAAAGACGATTTCATGAGTCTCTGTAATAGTTTCATAACAGAGCGATCACTGGGCTATGCAAGGCAAATATGGCCACCCTATGTTCCTTGTGTTGTGGAGCATCAGACTGACATTTATTTGTTCTTTGTTTACATTGTGGACATGCTGTACAAATGTATTATGTGCATATTTCACTATACTACGACTGCTGTTCATTACTATAACTATGATCCTTTGATTTGCCAATTTAGGGAGTTTTTCATGTTGGATTAGCAACAAAATTTAGAGCCCACTGAAAACCTGTATAATACAAGTCACTGTATTGAGTCAATGGGTAATTATTTAAGTAAGTCTTTGGTGAGATATTGTCTTATTTTCTGTTTTTTTTTCTTCTGTATCTTTGTGTATCTCAATGCTGAAACACACACACACACACACACACACACACACACACACTGCTTTACCATCGATTTTGCTTATCGGCACAGCAGGACATATAGCGAGTAAAGTCGTCTAGACCCTATACCTCAATTCATATTTTTTGAAAATTACACTGGGTTTGGAAGCGGGCCATGGGTTCCTCTTGGGAATCTGTGGCACAGAAATAAAGTGACATCACTGGCTGGGTATTAAAAAAATGTAGATGAACTTACAGCGGTTGGGGAACACATTCCTCGGAGGAGAAAGCTGCTTATTCGCTGTTCCATTTGCGGACTTTACCTTAACTCCGCGCACGCTGAGATGACGAGATTTACATAAAACATGGAGGAACCTCCCTGGCCGTTCTGGTCCACGGTGTATAAAGGACCCTGCTAGGTGTATGTACCACAGACATGTGATTACCCAAGAGGATTAACCCTCCCCTTCTCAAAAGCAATATGTTAGCATTTGTAATATATGAATCAAGATAAAAGGGAGCCTTGGTTCATTTTAATTATACACTTATGCTTGGGAAAGGACAGGCTAACTATGCACGCACAGTCCTGGGAAGACAAAGGGAAAATATTGGAAGTTAGAAGCAACTACAGCTGGGTTTCACTGGACAGTATTGTGTGGCATTTTCTTGTGTTTCGTTTGTTGTGTTCATGCCTACTGTATCCATGTGTAAATATATGCTTTTTTTTTCTTTTTCTTCTTTTTTTTTGGAGTGAGTCAAATCTAACAGTGCACTGAATGTACAGTGACAATAAAATCACATGGTTTATGTAACAGCTGCACAGGATTTTTATTGGATAGCTATGCTTAGTTTTGGTCTTCAGTGTTTTTTTACTGATAATGTAAGCTTATCGTGGTTTATAACTTCCTTTGTTTCTTTTTTTTGCAAATTGTCACCTGGCACTTTTCAGATGTCTTCTGTAACAAAGTTGCCTCTCTGGGTGCAACAGTAACATCCTTTGTTGAAGCGAGGATGCAACCACATCTACAAAATGAGCAACAATGAGTTTTGTCGCACTATCACAGTATATACATTTTTATTTGCACAACCTACTAACAATATAATTGCAGCCTATGCTTAACCTGCACTAGATATAAGATGAAATTCGCATCAAACTTACACACAGATGCACACAAAATGAATAGTCCTTAGGCAAGTTGTAAAGCAATAAAACTGGTAGTTTATGTGCAGTGCCTGGAAGACCAGTTGAGTGTCTACACGTGTGTATGTGTCTATGCGCGCTTGGATATTTAGCAAGACGGTGCCTCGGGGTGTAACCGCATCCTCCTGCCCCCCGACTGTCAGTTGGTTAACTGTCTACACGCCGTCCCTTTTGACCTTGCGTTGGCTACAACGCCGGCTGAATGCACATCTGACGCACTCTCTTCCTTTGTGGTGCAATCCTGTGGAAGTCATTTCATTTACTGGGCTTTCAACTTCAGCCAATATGGGAGTCGGGGTGGGGGTGGGGTGGAGTGGAGTGGGGGTAAGTCTGTGTTTAATCAGCCTGCCACAAAGCATTCCTCTAAACAAAATCAGCTGTGATGTCCAGCGAAAAGATGTCTCAACTGAAGACTGAATTAAACATATAAATGGGCTTGTCACTTTTTCATTTTTTTATTTATTATGCTGGCCTAAGCTGCACTCACCACTCCATATTATTGCTGCAAATCATAACTGTGTATTAACTTGGTCTATACTGTATATCAGCAGACCTTTTTATGTGTAGAAGTTTTATGTGAAGGTGTTCCTCGCCGACGTTTGACTTATAAAAAAAAACTGCAAGCAAAGTAAAAGAAGCTACAGAAAATGTGTCTTATGAACTTGCAGATCTTCTTTTTTTCA